CAATCCACAAACTCGGTCGGATCCCCGGCGAAGGGGAATACTCCACCTTTCTCAAAGTGAGCTGCTGAGAAAGGTGGAGTTTCCTCTTTGCCGAGCGTCCTGAGATTGTGGTACATGCACCCGCGCACTTGACAGAGACACCTTTCTTAAATCCAGCGTCATCGGAGTGAATTCGGCTTTTCTTGTGTGCCCTCTTCTTCCAATTTTCTTTCACAATCCTGTACACAGATCGTAACGATGGCCGTTTTGTCTGCCACGTTCTGTACTGACCGTGTCAATACCATACTGACCGTGTCGACACCACATGCCAACAATCTTTTGCCCTTTCGATTGCACTGATCGTCACAGAAGAAGGTCTCACACGTCCCGATTGGTCGGAAAAGTTCCCACCAGTGTGATTTCCGTTACAGTTTTCGGAACTGATTCTCTTGGTACATTCCTAACCCTTCACGAGACAGGTTGATGATATACAGTCCTCATCATTACGTACTGTCGGGGCGGTTCAGTGCGGCTGCGTTTGGCGCGGGGCCAAAGTCGTTCTGCACCAGTTGTTGAAGCGGGCAAGTGACATTACTGTATTATATCCTCCGTATTACTCGTTTTCTACCACTTTTTGTCGCATACGCGTTTCAACAAAAAGGCTGAGAACGGCTTCAACAGTGTGCACACTCATACTGGCTGACACGCCCCACCGGTCCGCAATGATGAGGACTGTATGTGAGACTCGATGACGGCAACATCTTCAAGGGAAAAGGCAAAAATTTCGCTGTAGTTGGAAGCGGGTTTCACAGTAATTCAGAGAAAGTGGAATAGAAGTGTCCAAGCCTAAAGAACAGTTCGACAACTAAATTTTCCGCTACAACGCTTTTTCACATGATTTTGCCCGACGTGCTAGTTACAGCGAAATAATCACTCGTCAAGAATTGTATGGCCACACGTGTTTGATTTTGCATATTGCGGCCCGAGATTCAATGCAGAAAAAAACATTGGTGACAGTTCCATATGAACGAGTCCCCATTGCCAAATTGCTGCTTGCTTGAGCCACACCTCTGGATAGCAATGTTTTGCGCACGTTTTCTTGGCTTCGTTTGTCCTTGCATCGAGCCTTCATATCTTGACGGAACCAGAATTTGCTCAGTTTTGGCGTTTTTCATGAAGGAAGAATTAATTTTGGTTGCTCATACAGCTAGAAGTAGACTAGCCAACACTGCTGGAGGAGCTGCAAAGCAATCAGATGGTAGCGTCGATTTGTCGATATGGACGAAAAGAACAAGCCGATGAGGTGCGGCATCAAGGCGTGTAAGAGTGGAGTGGCAGTAGTAGGCACTCCTTGTCTACAGTATCCCAGCTCTGCGCAGATCTCGGACCTCCTGAGCTCAGATTTTGAAGCAGGTGCTTAGAGCTGGGTGCATCGCACCAAGCACACTTACGGATCCATCAGGAGGGATTGCAGGAACCAAGGCATCGAACCTGTTCCCTCAAAGAAAAGTGACGCGCAGTGAGGCTGTGGATGCATTTTGAGTTGTTCGCCTAGATCCTATCATCTCACCCACGCTATTAGGAATAAGTTGACTCGATCTGCGCGATTGCATCAGGTGCGATCTTAGTGAGGTCAGTACCAAGATCATAGAATTATTCGATTAAGTCAGAACCTCAGCTAGTCTATCGTCTCTTGGCTATGCACATCGCGAAAAAGTTTCAGTTCTTGTCTAAACGTGGAAAAATGAGGGTGTCACAAAATTGCTTCTGTAGGGTTGATACTCCCCTTTACACCCTTGAAAGTCAACACAAAGTGAGAAAAATTCTCTATCATATTGTACAGATCTCACTAATATGGAAATCCCAGTTTTGATAGAAAATTCCGAGGCAGCAAAAGACGCTTTCACTTGCAGGCTCACTCAATACGTTGATTTCAGATTGAATGGTCTCGATATTTCCGTTCCATCGCACCGCCTTCTCTCCATAAATACTTTGCGACTAATCCGGATATTGTGGTCGCCGAAATTGATTATATGAGGAAGTAATATGTGCAGGTAATAGGTGACAAATGATAACACTACGATTATCTTTAGCGTTTCCAAGCTGCTACACTCAACTGACCCTCGGATTATTACCAATTATGTCTTCATTCGGTATGTCTCTTCCTGGAGTGGAGAACTCGGAGAACGATTCGATGACGTCTCACAGGTTTCCACACATTACTTAAACTTAAGACCCACAGTAAAAGCCGAAAGCAAAAGTTCTCGGCGAGATTCGATAGGAGGAATCTGGATCAACAAGTGAACACAAGCTAACACATCGCCTGTCCATACCATAATATGTGACTACTATACAGGGGGGGGGGGCAAAAAAAAAGTCATTTTGCCTCCATGACTTTCAAGGCGCTATAAGTTACACTTTATTAAATTTTTATCGGACATTTTTACTACCATATTAAAGAGCACATTAAATACTATAATGATACTCCGCCACAGCCTTCTGGAGGAGCGCCATCGAGAGATTCGGCCGCGCGAAAGTGAGTGGGTACCGGAGTTGAGCGAGATCGTTGATTTCTCCGCCACTGTAGACCACCCTGTTGAGCTCCGCCCGAACCGAGTAATTGAGGGGGTTTAGTTCAGGACCCCCGCTTAAATACTCCATCTTTTCCAGGTACTCAACGTTCTTCCATTCCAAGTAGGCGAAAGTTTTTCCAACGCCCTTCGATTCATGTGGTGGCACCCAATGCTGTAGCAGTACAAAGTTTCCAAGAAGGTACGGGCGACCACATGTAGGGAGGATATTCTTCTCGAGTTACTTGATGTAACCGCCAGCGCTCACCTTCAGTCGGGGTCCACGAAGAAAATATCGGTTCATCCATTCCAGGTACGGCCGGTCCACACCATCAACCCGCGCCTTGGTGAATGGGGTGAAGATGATGTCCTGGACCGTAGCGACGTTGCCGGAGCTGCTCGATGTTTGGGGTCTTGCAGATCAAGAGTACTGGTCTCCAGGTAGCTATCCATGGGTGATTCCATTCAAGAAGTTCCGCAGCTGTTTGGAGGCCACGTGAATTCCAAAGGCGTTCTCCACTCAGGCCGCGACTGGAGATGACTTCATATTTTGGTGTACATGAAGGTGAATGGCGGCAGCCGGCTCCTGCTTATAGAGGAAGATCTTGGGTATCTTCCGCCCTGGTACTCATATCCACTTCCTCTGTCTGGGCTGCGAAAACTTCGCTCATATGTGACTCGGCCGGAATGACTTTTTTTTGGCCCCCCCTGTATATGGCTACACTTATGAGACATGAGATTATGCCATACCTATAGGCCGTTTTCTATATTCTATTGTGAACACACTGCATGCACACATACTTGAGGCATATAGTAAAGTAAAGGTTCATTATAATGGTCCTCCTTGCAGATAGCTTCTGTGGTCTCGCTATTTGACCGCGGCAGACTGCAGGTAGTGGTCGCTCTGAAAATGCACGCCTTCGGTTGACGGGGCATCTTTCTCTTTTGTTGCTTTACTAATTTCGCTCACGTTTTACTCCAGTGAAACCTTTGAACACTTCAAACTGAAGAAAGCTTGTCAAGACACCTGATGAATGTTATTTATGTGGTTTCCACTGCTCCACCAGGAACTAATCACAAGAATCGACAAGTGGTCTCAACAGACTTTGACAGGTTCATTTCGTGGTCAGCACGTCATTGGGAAGTTCGAAAAGCGCTAAACGCCTTCCCTCCCCTACTAGTGCGGAAATGAACTTCTGTTCGTCATTAGAGCACGCTTAGAGTGCTCATCATGGGAAGTGGGAATAACTCGAGAAGAATAAGACTCCAATTTGAACCTCTCCGACAAGCATCGCACCTGACAAGCATCTGTTCCGCGAGGAACTTACCGATGACATTTTCACAGACAGGAATCCATGCCAAAGGATGGGAACTTGGTAAAACTCATGAAAGGCTCCACATCCACAGGTAGCAACACGCGCAGTCGACAGTTGGCGGACAGTCTCTACGCAAGAGGCGCCCCTGCGCCATGCACAGTTACAAGGACCAAGTTTGTTCACATGCTTTGAGCTGCTTCTGCGGTTTGAGAACCTAGATTAAATGCGAAAAAGTGTCAAAGCCCTCTTTTGTGTGCACCGGATACTGCATTTCAACGAAGGCAAAACTAACAAAAATCAAGGAAGAATGGAAAACTAGTGCGCTGCTCTGTAGAGGAAAAAATTATCTGCCGAACCAAATAAAAAGCATTGGAGAGTTTTCGTCTTTCCAACGAATTTCGATGCAAGAACTGAAAGCTGTCTCGTTTATGAGACCCAATCCTACGACCCTGCGAAAGAGCGGTTGGCGATGACCAATGGGAATGCAAGAGACTACGTGCCAGTGACTCTGCCTCCAGACTCCCAAAGCCCGGCTTCTAGCCACATGCGAGGCTCCCGCGCAAGTATCATAAAGAGAATGCCTTCATTCTCTCTTGTAGAGTCATAGGGTTCATTACTGAAAATCAGCCGATGGAAATTGTCCCAGCGCCGGTCTTTCCGGTCCCTTACCTATACAATTGCTTGAGGCTAAACGAGGCCTAACTAATGCATTTTCAACGTTAATGCTTTTTCACTTCATAGACCTTTCACTCGGCTAATTTTCTTCCACATTTCTGCAACATCATCTAGGCTTTTATTGAAGACCGCGCCTTCAATTTTACCGCAATAGTACTGTGTTAGGTGCAAAACTTATAATCCTGCTCCAAACTCGATCTCGCACCCCACGCTTTTCCGGGCGGGTGCGGCACCAGGGCTACATTTACGCTCATACTAAAACAGCTTCGAAACTCAGAGTAAATTCGTGTTTCTTTGAGCATATGGCATTACAATGAAGAAAAAGTGATTTTGGTTTCATTGGTTTTTACTGCATTCGGGATAGAGTGAACATACATTTCCATTTAACCAAGGAATTCGAACGTTCGATGTACGGAAAGAAGCTGAAAACTCCCGATGGAAGGAGTGCACATCTCAGACCATGCGAAGAACGAATTACGCTGCTAGTGCCATTTATGTCAGCAAAGCGTTCGACCAGGTAGTTTTCTGGAAATACTGCAAATCTCGTTGAATTCATGTCATGCTGTAATATTGGTGTAGGCATCAAAGAACTCAACGTTGGATATGGCGAACGATATAAAAGAAGCGTTCCACGGAATGCTTGTCGAAGAAGACTGGATGGACAATGCTACAATGAAGGTCCTTTTTCGTAGAACAAAACTCTCCCAATAATTGCAGTGGCCTGGTGTTCTCGCATACCCTACTTGAAGGCATCTTTCAAAGAGCTCTAGAGTTCAAAACTGGGGTTGTTATCGTGACGATTCGGGAACGGTTTTTTTTTCTTGAGTCGAAAACACGATCGAAGGGAAAGGACAAGTGATAATCGAAGAAGTGTTTCGGCTTTGATATACAGAGTTTCACATGATCGACATCAATACCTTTATTATGGTCAGTAATGAGCGCTGGTGCGCTTTTGACGCTTTCTTCTTCTTTTTATTCCTTTAGGCCACCTACCACTGACACTTTCGTTTGTTCAATTAGCTGCTTAGGATTTGCTATCATATGTTATTCACTGGCAAAATGCGAACTGTGCCATCGACTGAAGGGAAGATAACATTTTCTTAACACCACTCAACTGCTACTGCCAAAACCGCGAACTTATTTTTCATAAAAAATTTGCTCAGAGGGGTTATACAGTGGTCGCGGGTATAGCTTTAGGTTTTCGTACTTACCACCAATTTTACGTCAGATTCATTCAATGCCTGATCAAACGGCCATCAAACTCATAGCGCAGTTCATAGTGGTAGGAAGTGCCTCTTATTGTTAGAAGGAAAATGGGAGCAGCCAGAAACATCATTGAGTGGTAAAAGGAAGTGATAAGTGCTGTCAAGAGCTGATGAGGGTCTCAGAAGAAGAGGCTCACGAAATTTGCAGTAAGGGTCACGGTATCACTGGGATCTTGGTTCCGGGAAGTGGTACATGGACCAGCATGTGTACATTATTGGTCGGCGGCAGAAAATGATGATGTGGAGGGGGTGGTGGCATTGGAGAGGGAGCCTCGAAAGCGCATACTGGTAACAATAGATGGGAATATTTTCATAAGTTGGCTATTATAGGTCAAGCATCCGTGAGATATTAGCATCTTCAGCAGGGGATTTTGTTCCCGACACGAAGGCGTGGTATTTTGTGAGCTCCGTCAACAGAGCTGTGACAGCGTGACAGCGTGACTACAGACAGTGGAAGCGGGTTCGATTAAGTGGCAGAGTTGATAATCTTGTGGGAACACTAGCAGAACTATTGGGTTGAGTCATAAGTAACGGTTTTCTTCTCACTCAACATAGCGCGCTGAACATGAAACCTTCTGTCATTTCGGTTTCATGTTACGTGAATTCCTCCCCTATGAGATAAATTCTCAGTCTTTTTGAGGATTCCATTCGCACCAATATTTCAATGTTCAAGATTCTTTCTGGATTTCGTTCTGGATTTTTAGGTCGACGAAAGTGATCATTTTCGACCGCCTCTCTTTACCTCTAATTGATAAAGTGAAACAGCGTAGGCCCAGAACTCACAGACAAGCATCGAACCGCATGCCCTATTGGCAACTGAGAGCTTACTGAATTACCTTGTTTACGTAAAATCATACCAAGGGTAGGGAATAGTTACGGGTCGTAAAATGCTTACTGTCATCATCAGCATCGTCCTCAGCTATGTTAGATATTCTAAACGTGGTGGAAGTATTCTACAGGAAGTCACGCAAAGAGGGCAGCTCATGCGCATTTGCAAAGTCTCCATTCCCACTTCTGTATCGCTTGAACAACTTCATGCTGTCATAAGTATTTTTCATCGATTATAGATATCACGATTTTAAAAGTCCCTCAGTAATTTGAAAGATGAGATAGAGTGCAAACGTCGTTGTCGAAAACTCACTTTTGTGTCGATCCCGACACTCCATTTCAATAGAATAAAAATGGACAGAAATCAAGAAATAGTAGGAAGGCAATTATACTATTTCAAAGAGCGAAAAATTATCTATCGAACAGCCTAGAAGGTGGTGGAGCAGATTCCTTCTTTCCATATAAGGCCGCGTTCATAGCTTGCGTTCGTGAAGAAATGCAGAAGTGCGGAAAGTGCAGAAGTGCGGAATCTGCAGAAAAGCAATAGATACTTATCGACTTGAAGAAATGCAGAAATGCCGAAAGTGTGGAAAATCGATACGTATCGGTTGCTTTTCTGCACATTCCGCACTTTCGGCATTTCTGCAGATTCCGCACTTCTGCAGTTTCGGCATTTCTGCAGATTCCGCACTTCTTCACTTTCGGCATTTCTGCAGATTCCGCATTTCTTCACTTTTCGGCATTTCTGCATTTCTTCAAGTCGATAAGTATCTATTGCTTTTCTGCAGATTCCGCACTTCTGCATTTCCGCATTTCTGCATTTCTTCACGAACGCAAGCTATGAACGCGGCCTAAAAAGGTCAAATTGAGTGTTCGTAATCACTCGGCATCCACCTGCGGCCCTACCACCAGTGGTTGTTTTCCTTCTACATCGATCACTGCTCCATCACCACTGGTAGAACAAGTCAGAAGATCACGTCGCGCTGCGCTCGTCGCCCCAGACTCGTCGCAATGTTAGAAACTATGTGCTCAGCACGAGAAATGCCACGTTAAGGAAAACTGCCCTGTCACTATGAGCCGCCCTTGAAAGAAGTGTGTCACTAAGACCTCCTCCCTCCTCGTGCTAAAAAAGAAAGAGAATTATCAATTTATTCAGAAAGGCAGAGTTTTCTAAGGTCATATTCCGTTCAAAAGACAAGATTTTACAGAATGACATGCGCTTGTGGTGTTCTCTCAAAAGCTTCCATATGGCATCAACCAAAACAGCTTCGAAGGAGGTCTCACGGCTTTATACCAAAATTAACTGTCGAAATTCATTGAGGGTGCGAACCTCCTATTTTTTACGGAACTACTGTGGCAACACAGGAAGAGGGGCAAAAGAAAAAGCGGGTCTGGAAAAGCTGTCATTTTTCTAATGACCACAGTGTTTTCACAAAAGTCTCTCATTGAAGTCCGTCGTAGACGATTTCCTCCGTAACTATTAGGTCATCCCATTCAAAGTGGCCGCTGGTTTTTTTTGAATAAAACAAAGAGGAGAATAGATAGAAAAGTGATATTTTAGCTTTAGGATGACCTAATAGTTACGGAGGAAATCGTCTACGACGGACTTCAATGAGAGACTTTTGTGAAAACACTGTGGTCATTAGAAAAATG